AACTAGCGAGACCTAGACTGTTGTTGTGTTTTGGTATTTCAAAGCATGGTTTTTAAAACCGACCTAGAGACCGAATCGGTCAGGGGTCCGGTTATAGGGTCAAATGGTTTGAACGGTTAACCGGTCGGGTCAACGGTTTGTTGACCAAAATCAACAATTTTTGGAGAAAATCCGGTTTGGGGGGAAAATGAAACCGGTCACCTGACTTTGAAAACCATGCTTCAAAGCTTCTTTTTGCCAAGCTCAGTCTTCAGACATGCAATATGGACTTCAGTGATTTTGAACTGAGGTATGTCTTCCTCTTCATCTTTTTTCTTTGATGTCTTGTCCTTAATCTCCTCTTCCTTCACCAATGATTCAGGCCTTTTGTCTCCATTTCATGCTCCGGTAATCGAATTTGTGCGCGTAGCATGATGAGTATCAAGTATCTTTGAAGTTCACTCACTAATTTGTTCTTCATCATCAACTAACCTAGCATCAAGCCTCATCCATTCATCTAGAGTTATTGGGAGCCCCATTAATCCATTAACATCATCTTCACAATCTTTAATGTCTAACAACTACAACCCTACAACTCCCTCCAAACCAAGAGAGCCATTGGTATTGGCTCTCGTAGCTTCACTATAAGAGCTTAACCCAAATGGACTTTGATCAATCCCAAGCATGCTTAAGAAATCACTTGCAATTGATGCAGTAGCACCATCCAAACTCTTTTATGGTGGAACCATATGCATTATAACCATTCCAAATTAAATGGGTTAGACTAGAAAGATTTGAGACTTCAAATAAGTGCAAGCAAAGTTTTTGTTGTAGTGAGGAGAGGTGTGAGAGATTTAAAAAAAAAAGGAGGGACTATCGTTATGTTTATTTGAAAGTTTTAAGATCAATGGGATAAAATTGACCATAAAAGGATAGTTTGGAATTAAGAAAAATTATATAAGTCATGTGACATTACATGCAAATGGATTGTAATGACACATTAACTATAAGGGAGGATTTTGTCCATTGTTAGAAAACCTAAGGATACCATAAGTAATTTTTCATACAGTAGGATAAGTTTTTGTCAATTTGCTAAACCATGGGGATACTTTAAGTATTTAACCCAAAAATAAAAAAAAAAATGGTTGGTACTTTGTCCATTGTATCAACTTTTAGTCCCCTATTCGAACAAAGATAGATGAACAACCAAGAGTTAAAGAACTCAAAACTTGGCATCTGAATTTCTTTTTTCTGGTGATTTGTATGTAAGCAAAATCCAAATGGCAAGCTCTCAAATGATGAGACCTCCACATGCAACCTATCCTTTGGAGGAATAATGCTTCATTATTTGTCTTATATCGATGCCTCTACAGTCTACAACATGCATTGTCTCTTTTTCATCCTCTGGTCATGTACAACACTTGAAACAAGAAGGAATGAGAAAGGGGGAGGAAGGAAAGGGTTTTTTGATGAAAATGAAACTAGAAGGATGAAAGAGCAAATCTCTGTCTCTTGGAGGGAAACTCACTTTTCTCAAGGCAGTAGTAGAAAATCTTGCCCAATACACAAATGAGTATGTCGTGAATCTCAAAAGAAACAACAAAGCAAATGGTTAAGCTCTAAAGAACCTTCCTCTAGGGCAAAAAGCAAAATAATAAATCATTTGCTCTAACTATTTGGAATTCCTTATGTTTGAGTAAAGAACAAGGTGGGCTAGCTTTGAAAAAGATGACCAAAATCAATCAAGCCAACCTAATAAAACTTGAAGAATTCTAAAAGAAAGAAATGATCTATGGGTTTAGGTAGTTCAAGATAAATATTTGAGAAATTTTGAATTCCTAGAACATTAAGCCCCAAAAATCAAGTCATTGGCTTGGAAACAAACACACAATATTAAACAAGGAATTATATGGTATATTAGAAATGGTGCATTGTGCAACTTATGAAAGGATAATTGGATTACAAATCAACCCCTTCAGATGATCTTTCAATTAGAAAATGAAACCCAACTAAATCTAGATCTAAAAGTGAGGGATTTCATAACCCCAGAACCATAAAAATGGGACCATGTAAAACTGGTTGAGATCATCTCTCTTCATATCATGGACAAAATTATGGCCATTCATATCCCCTCCTCTAGCCAAGAGGACACCTTGGTGTGAGGCCCAAGCACATCGGGCTCGATTTTGGCCAAATCAGCTTACAATCTCCTTAGAGAGGAAGTGCTATTGGAACCAAACATCTTAAAGTTGATCAAACATTCAAGGAAATTCTACTACTCGGAAAAGATAAAGGTGTTTCTTTAGCTACTAATTAAAGATAAATTTTGCCAACCAAAAGCAACCTCTAAGCAAGAGGATTGAGTACCCAAGATGACTACCCCTTTCTGTGGAGACCTTGAAGACAAATACCATATTATAGCCCGATGCCTGGTGGCATTACAAGTTTGGGGAAGTTTAGATAATTTAGTGTATCAATCGATAGACTGTATTGGAACCTAATAAATTGGTGGGAAAAAACAGCCATTGAAAATGTAGAAAGGAACTCTCCTTGGTTATAGAAGAGAGTTGCTACAACTTTTTGGTATTTGTGGGAAAAACTGAAATGAAAAAATTTTCAACAACAGAGTGTACTCACCCCATGATTTGGTATCTAAGGCTTGGTACTATGGCCCCGTTTGGTTTGTGGGATGGGGATGAGAAACGAGAATATTGCAAGAATATTCCCTTTTCTCATGTTTTCTTTGAGGAAAAGAGTGGGATGGGGTGAGAAAAAGGTGGGATGGCAAATCCCAAAATCAAGGATTTGAGGTCGCACCAAAATGGTGTGACCCTGTTCGAAAAACTCAAGATCATCTTTATCCTCGTTGCTGCTGCTGGTAATCTCCACCATCTCCAGTAACAGATATGCCAATAACAGATCGTCTTCATCCTCCCTCATGCATATGTTGGTAATCGCCGCTGCCGGTAATAGATTTGGCGCTGTTGGTTTCGTCTTCTCCCTTCGGCTTGAGACACGTTATTGTAGCTGCCCAAGTAAAGAAACCCAGGCAATACCTTCGATGGAAAAGCACTTGTTTGAATGTCAGAATAGTAACAAAAACAACACGAGCACAACAAGAGTACAACAAGACCAAAAAGAAAAATTAAACTCGCTTTGATCCAACAAAGATTAGCTTCACCGTTAAAATCTGATTTTCCAGCACCAGAGTTTCCACCGTCAAAATACTGGATAGAATAGGTAGGTAGAGGCTTTTTCTCGATTGTCGCCAAGCATCTCAGCACCAGAGTTTCTCCGATTTTCCAATATCTACAGAGTGATCGTCATTAAACGCTTTCTCTCTCTCTCTCTCTCACACACACACACACACACAGAGTCTTTCCTAGAGAGTTCCTTGAGATGAACGACGTCAATTGTTCTTTTGTTGCTTTCTTCTCTCTATGCTGTCAAGGCGCGAAAGTCTGCAAGAAACATCTCTAATCACTCGAATGTCATTAGTCGTCGACAACATATTGACACTCTTCGATGGTCGAATCTTGGAGTAAGAAAGGACGTGCTAGAAACCAGCAGTGGCAGAAAGTAGAAGACGAGACAGATCTGCCGCTGCTGGTAACACCACTGATGACGATGGTAGGCATTCACCGGTGATGAGGGCAGACTGAACCTCCGAGACCTCTGTTTTGTCTTGGATAATTTTCCTTCTATTTTCCCACGTAAAACCAAACACTGAAATGTTAAATTTTTACACATTCCCATCCCATCCCAACCCATCCCAACCCATCTTTTCCCATCCCACCCAAATCTTCCCATAAATCAAACGGAGCATATGCTAATGCGTACATAGAAGCAAACAACAACCTAAACCAATTGCCAACGAATCAGGCAAAACAATTACGATGGATCCCTTCATTTGCTAATCATGTCAAGTTAAACTTTGATGCCTATGCAAAATTAAATGGAAAATGCACATTTGGGTGCATAATGAGGGATGCAGATGGCAAAGATCTAAAGACTCATTGAGATAAAATTGGTACCACTACCATCACAATAGGAAAAATGTGGGCTGCTCTTGAGGCGCACAAACTAGCTTCTCATCTTCAAAACTACTCTATTACCATAGAAGGAGACTCTCTCCTTGTAATTAACATTCTCAATGGTGTATTGAAGGTCCCATGGCAATGTATGTCACTTCTTAATGAATGCAGTTCGAAGTTCTTCCTCAACTTTATTGTACAAGCACACACAGGGAAGGCAACACAGTAGCAAACTGGTTGGCCAACCATTGCGAAGAATTGGATGTTGATTGAAACTTTGGCTGTTGGGATTTTAGCTTTCTCCTTTTCTTGGATGCAGCAGGGAGGTCTCTTCCTCGCTAGTCCTAATCCCTTTTGTAGTATAAAAAAAAGAAAAGTAAAAATAAAATAAAATAGGATAAAATATAAGAACCTCCCCTGGGGTTTATGCCAATCATAAAAGCCTTCCTCGAAATTTCATTTTAACAAAAGCTTCCCCTGTAGTTTTGAAAAATCTCGCAATTACATTCCTTCCATCATTTTCTGGCCAAAAAACATTGGCCTAATGCATTTTTTTTTTGCAATATCCATTTTACCCTTATATCTATTAATTCGGATGGAAATTTATTAAAATACTCCAAAAAATTTAATTTTTAATTAAAAATGTCCATAGGTCAAATTAAAGAATAAAGTATTTTAATTTTATAAATTCATTATGATTGAGTGAAGTCTTAAAAGGGCAAATCTGACATTTTGTTGATTATATTAAAAGATTTCCGAACAAATAGTAAAGGAAATTCTGTAAAGGGAGGTATTGCAGGATTTTAAAACTACAGGGAAGGTGTTTATTAAAATGAAACTTTAAGGGAGATTTTTATGATTGTCAGAACCTCAGGGTAGGTTTTTATAATGCAAAATTCAAAAATCAAATGACTTACAATGGTCTGCACATGAAAATTATCATTTACATGTAAAACTAACGTGGAATCTTGTAATTGGACCCAGAGCCCGCTTCACAGCCGAGGGCGTTCAGCTAATCCGGACGCATCTCTTCACCGCCTGTCTCGCTCAATTATTTGTTCCGTTGAGAAGCGAAAGAAGAAGCAAATAAAAGGACCCGGGTATCGAAATCCACGATAAAATCTCAGCTGCTTCGTTTCGAGGAGAGCAACAAAAAAGTCACCGATCGATCAGATTCAGAAGGAAGAACGTCAGAAAAGCAAAAGCAACATCGAAACAAGTCTCACCGCTAGTTGCTCGTTATTGTGACCGAGAACGAAGGTTAGCGTTTCTCTCTTTCTTGTGCTCTATTTGATTATATTCTTTTTTAATTTTTGAAAGCCGAATATGTAAATTGAAATCTTTTCCAAAAGCCCCAGAGAGACAAAATAAAATAACAAAAAATAATTCCACTCTAACAAACGATTTGGCGACATACGTTTTAGGGTTTTGTATCAACTGCTAGGGTTTTGTTGTTTGAGGAACATATGCACGGTCCATAATTGGTGCTGCTTCGGTGTTAACGTAAAGCGTTCGGTATTTTACTCTTTTGTATAATGGATTAATAACCAGGTAGTTTTCTAGCTTGATTCCACCCTAGTCTCATTTTCTTGTGAATCTTTCAGGACTGTTTTCCAACACGACTTGTTTCTTTCTTGTGATTTCAAGAAAACTGGATCTCATGAATAGTTTGAAAAAGCATTGCTTCTTAAAGCAGGGAACACATAAAGGTTCTCTTCGTTGCATAATATTTGTTTCTTCTTTTTCTAAAAATGAAACTAGAACATTACTGGTTTGAAAAACACGATCTATAACATTGTGTCCAGTAAGGTGCGCGATATTCAGATCGACCATTGATTGAATATTAATTAACTTTTTTGTTTTTTTATTTTCGATTATACTTTGGACCCAAGTCCATTTACATGCGGTTTGGTATGCTATGATCTATCTGAGCTTTAAAGCAGCAGTTGTAAGGGGCTTCATGGGAGTTTTTGGTGTGACATACCGAATAGTAGTTAACATCAACCTTATGGGAATGGAAACATGTTTTCTTTTTGAAAGCATCTTTTTGTTGTTTTTTTTCTTTGATACAAACAATTATATGGTTCGGAGAACACCCTACAAAGCAGAGAGAGAGAGGGAGTACACCCAACCGTAACGCCTATCAAATAGCAGGCGTTTTGAAGGTCGCTTAGTGGCAGGGCCGGAAGACTTGGAAGTGGACTGTTCATCTTCCCCAACTTTCCCTCTCTCTCCTCTCTCTTCCCCGATCTCTCTTCTTGCCCTTACCCTTAACAGCATCGGGATCTCCATTCTCCATTCTCAGTTATCACATTTCTGTGGTTCTTTCATCAAAGAATTCTACCTCCACGCTATTCATGCATCAGGAATATAAAAATACCAGAAACCTATTCTGAAAGGATCTTTGCTGGCTGTCTGTTATGCTTCAAAAAGATAACAAAATGTTGATAGACTAGGAGGGGCACTTGATCCGGGACTGGGAAGAATAAAAACTAAACGCTAGCTGGTGGTTGCTACACCCTCTAGTAACCCAGGACCTCTAGGAGTTAGTGGTCATTAATGGACCATTCTGCTAAGCTATTCATACACAATAAGGAAAAGACTTCTTGCCCTCCTTCAGAGTTCAGACATTGTTGCTAAATATAATTATTCTTCAGACTGGACTGGGTTGATAGTTGAAGGGGATCGTTATTTGTTAATGAGTAGTTAGTTGGTTTCCATTAAGGGCAAAAGGGCCTGGAGCAAAAGGCTTTGGCTTCCAAGATGAACTTCTCATTCAGATGGAATACCTAGATATGCCAACAACCTTCTAGACCAGTTAGCGAAAACAGGGGTGAATAGAAAGACATAAAGTTAATTGTGGGGAATGGGGATACCAAGTCTGGGTCTGCATCTGTGAACCTGCATGTAGTTCTGTAGTTCTTGGTCCTTAGGGGTTATGGGTCCTTATAACATATGTACTTGTCTGTCATCACTTGCACCAGGCTACCAGGAAATGGCTCTAACATGAATATCACTAGTCCAAAATTATAAATGCCAAGCGCAAAAATAGAATCAGCGCAAAGATTTTCAGGGGCTGTTACTATTGGATGTTAGTCTTAAACTCAAACGTGAGAGATGTTATATATGCATGGAATGTAGCATAGCCTTTGATCCATTGGGTTCAACATAGAATTTGTCAAGTGGTATACCAATATGAGCACTAGCAATGATAAAGTTCATCATTCAAAACCACGGTTGATGACTCTAGAGACTATAAGCATCTATCTGGTGATAGAGGATAAGCTTTGCCTTTTTAGTTGTTGATTTACTCACTTAAGATTTCTGGGTTCTGGGGCATCATAAAATTTAATGGATTCTCGATCGTATTGACCTTTTGATTTTATTTGGGAATCCTTTACACATACATGATGATCCAATAGGCGCACTTGGAAAGGATCGAAGTCAATGTTGGTGAAAGACTGGATGAAGTAATGGCTAAATTTGAATGGGTTCGGCTTTATCCAGATGCCAAATGCTTTCCGTATCTTAGGCGATTAACTTTAGATCCCCTCTCGCCCCTGTGATAACGTTGTCGTGCAGGCTAAGCTTTCTAAGAACTTGAAGTTGGGCGATCTTCTCCGTGATATGGGCAGACATCTGTTGTTGGGCTATCAAGCATTGTAGTTTCCCATGATTGCGGCATCGTTGATGACAACTATAGCCTATAGAGACGAGATTGAAGACAGGGAAGAGAAGAAAGGGAAGATGAGAAATGGGTTTCCTCCGTCCTTTCATTTCGGAGAGTTGGGAGAGAGAAAGAATGAGAGAGGATGGTGAGGGAGGGGAAAAGAAGAGAAGAAAGGGAAAACAATAGGTTAAATAGGTTTTAGGAGAAAAAGGACAAAAAAGAAAATAGAAAAAGTTTAGTGGGATATTTTGGTAATTTTATGCATTTCGTCATTTGACTTAACGGGGGGTCTTTGTCACAAAACAAAGTATAAGGGGGTCTTTGTCACAAACCCTTTTAATAATATATTTTTGATCAATAACTATTCAATATGTTAGGAGAAACCCAAAATAGAGGTATTTTTTATGAATCAAGCTGAACATGTTTTCATTTTGTATCGAGAAGATACAAAATGAATACCATTTATACTGATTGATTGGTTTTCAGTTTTAGTATCATGCCTTTTCGATTAATTGTTGGACTCACAAAAATATTATTATTTTTTTTGTGTTTTTTACTAATGTGCCATTTTCTAGAAACATGGGAAAGAAAAACTTTTATGTTAGTAAATACCCCCATTGTTTTTTTTTGATAGTAAATAGAAAACTTTATGGACAATGGCGGAATTAAAGTCGTATTTACCCCCATTGTATTTACATCAAGAATTAAAGTTGGAAATATTGTTAAACTACCGGGACTTATTGGTGGAAGGAGACTCTTTGCATGGTTGTGAAACTGCCTAACAAATATGGACAATGGAAGCTTAAAAATATTATGAGGGAAGTGTAAGGCAGTTAGTGCAAGAATTGAGGACTCAGTTCTAATAGACTCAAAAGGCAGCTAATAGTATGTCAAATTCTCTAGCAAAGCAAGGGGTGGATAGAGACTTAGAAAGCAATTGTATTAGGGGTTACTACTAGGGTCATTGGATCCACATGCTTAAACTATGGGCAAGAAAGCAACAGTTTTCTTAGGATTTTGGGGTGCTTGGCACATGATCCATTGTACATATTTCATTTTCTTTGATCAGCAATTAAGAAAGTTGATAATGGGAGGAGAAGAAGAAATTATGTGGCCAAATTAGAAGTGGATGGGGAGGGAGTCACAAATGAAGATGAGATAGCAAAAGTGCTGGTGGATCATTTTAAACCAATTGCAGGGAAGCCTCTGAATAATAGACTAAGGTTGGAAGGTCTAGATTGGCTCAGGTTGTCTGAAGAGCAAGCAAGATGGTTAGAGAGGAGTTTTGAAGAAGAGGAAATTAGGCATGCAATGTTTTCAATGGATAGACCCAAAGCCCCTGGACTAGATGGCTTCACCATGTCTTTCTATCAAGATTGCTAGAATGTGGTAAGAGAAGACCTTTGTGCTGTGTTTAAGGAATTTGAAGTTAATAGCAAAGTAAGCCTTGGAGTTAATGCCACTTTCATAGCTCTAATCCCTAAGATAAAAGAAGCAAAAAACCCTAAAGATTTTAGGCTTTGATGACTAGCATTTACAGGGAGCTATGATTAAAGTAGTGCTACCCTCCATCATTAGTCAAGCACAGGGAGCTTTCGTGCAAGGGAGACAAATAACAAATCAGATTCTAATAGTGAATGAATATGTGGAGGATATGAGAAAGTCCGGAAAGCAAGGATTTGTTTGTAAGTTGGATTTAGAAAAGGCCTATGATCTGGTGGATTGGAGCTTTTTATTAGAAATCCTAGGGTGTTGTGGGTTTGGAGTCAGATGGTGTAATTGGATAAAGGGATGCATAAGTTCTTGCCATTTTTTGGTTTTGGTTACTGGGGGTAGTCAAGGATTTTTTCCCAGCTCTTAGAGGTTTAAGGCAAGGTGACCCCCTTTCCCCTTTCCTTTTTACCCTAGTTTTTAGTAGCTTGATCTCTAAGGCAGACAGGGAAGGTGTAGTGAGAGGACAGAGGATAGGAAGGAACGGGATTAGGGTGACCCACTTACAGTTTGCCAATTACCTAATAATCTTTTATGAAGGGGGTGATAGGAGAACAATAAGTAATCTCAAGTCTTTGATAGAGTCCTTTGAGAGAGTATCAAATCTAAAAATAAATTTGGATAAGAGCTGTGTGGTGGGAGTGGATCTGGATGAGAGGACCCTTGAGTCGGTGGATGAGTCTTTAGGTTGCCCTATTTCCTATTGGCCTTTACAGCTCTTGGAGCCAACCCTAAGGAGAGCACTTTTTGGGCCCCGGTTTTAGAAAAGTTTGAGAAAAGGTTAGCCTCATGAACAAGGAACTATATTTCTTCAGGGGGTAGAGTTACCTTACTGAGAGCTTCCTTAGCAAATCTGCTGATCTATTATTTCTTTGTTTTTAGGATTCCGGTCAGGGAAGCCAAGAAACTAGAGAAATTAATGAGGAATTTTCTTTGGGAGCCAAGGGAGGAAAAATGATCACTTAATAAATTGGGGAAGTGTATAGGAGGAAAGAGGAAGGTGGATTGGGACTGGGGAATTTAGTTTTGAAGAATAAAGCACTCCTAGGAAAATGGTTGTGGAGATGGCCCCTAGAATAGGAGAGACTTTGGCATGAGGTGATAGCTAGCTTACATGGCAGTTTGGGCAATGGATGGGATGCAGGTGTATCGCGTCAAGCCACTCTGGCAAGTCCTTGGAAAGCAATTCAGAATATTCTTCCTCTTTTCCTCAACTGTATCAGGTATGATGTCAATTCTGGTACTTCTGTTTTGTTCTGGGAAGACATCTGGGTGGGCAATTCTGCCCTTAAGGACAGTTACCCTTCTCTCTATTCCATTTCTTGCTACAAGGGTAAAACAATTTCTCATTTTCTTCCAACATCTAATTCTCCATCTTCCTTGAGTTGGGACTTTGGATTTCGTAGGGGTTTGAGGGATCATGAACTCTCTCATGTTTCAGACCTGTTGTTACTACTTGAAAGTGTTTTTCTGGACCTTTCCAGTTCTGATGTGAGACTTTTGTCTCCAAACCAAAAAGGTTACTTCACATGTGCTTCCTTTTTTAAGTTCCTTTTCTCTCCCTCGAGACAAGTGGGCTTCCCAGCTAAGGAGATTTGGGCTAAACCTGTACCTCCTAAAATTATTATGTTCTGCTGGGTGGTTTTCTATAGGAAAATCAACACTTCAGACTTAATGCAGAAGAGAAGGCCTTCTATGTGTTTGTCTCCTAATTGGTGTGTACTTTGCAGGGCTAATGGTGAGGATTGCTCTCACTTACTTTTAACTTGTCCTTTTTCTGCTGCTATTTGGGGTTGGATCTTTGCTTTGTTCGGTTGCAGATGGAATAGGACCACAGCCATAGATCAGATCTTTGATTCTTCCTTCTTTGTGTGGCCCACAAAAACTGGTAAAACAATGTGGAGGAGCATTAGAGCTGCTGCTCTGTGGACAATTTGGGAAGAAAGAAATACGAGGATATTCCAAGAAAAGGAGAGAAATGTGCAGAATGTGAAAGATTGTATTTTGACCAGGGCAATCCACTGGCTGAGATCATCATATTCCTTCAAATTATATTCTTTTGATGACATGTGGAGGAACTGGAGGGCTGTGCTAGTAGCAGTAACAGAAAGAACAGGGTACCAGCTGTATGGGTACCCCCTTCAGCAGACTGGACAAAGCTGAATTTTGATGGTAGCAGTCAAGGAAATCCGGGGCCTTCAGGGATTGGTGGGTGCTGAGAGATGAAGATAGTAATATATTAGCTTTGTTCTCAGGCTCTGTGGGTATAGGAGACTCTATTAGAGCTGAGCTCCTAGCGGCAGTACAAGGCATTCAGGTTGCTAAAAAATCCAGATTCAGTGATCTGGTGCTACAGGGGTATTATGAGGAAAGCTAAATGGTTCTCAAGGAACATGAATGTTATTTTTCAGTGGGTGGGTAGAACAGCTAACACCATAGTGGTTGGGCTAGCTAAACAAGGGGTATCAAGGGAACAGTTTTTCTGGGCTGCTTTTTAAACTTTTTGTTACTAGTCTGAGGTAGTACATTGTTGCTATTATGGAGAGGTACCAGCTCATGCCCCTCCTTTGGGAAGGCTGTATTGTAATATCTTATTGATTTTATTGAATAAAATTCAGTCATTTATAAAACAAAGTTGATAATTACCTATAAAAAACATGTTTTCCCAAATTATTTTTCTTATTTTTTCTGTATTCTTGAATAATATGCAATTCGGGGTATCATCTTACTAACTATACCCCTTGGGGCTCAGCACATTTTGGGCCTTGGTATGGTCTAGGGTCTAGATCTTGCTCTGATAGTAGGACACTGCTTATTTTTAGATGTGAATCAAAGGGTTGCAGAAGTGGCATATGGAGTTTCCAGTATCTGAACTTAATATAACATCCCCCTTTTGAAAGAGCTTTCATTGTTACCATATCTGAATTTTTTTAGTGTTTATTATTTGTATCATCATTAGTAATAACATTCTGTTCCGTGCTTTTATTTTTCAAGGTGATTTATGGGGACAAGCCGTATGTAATGTGTATCTTCTGTTCTGTTTACTGTTTTACTCTTTGCTGATGCCCTAGCGAAGCAAGGGCTTTTAGGTCCAAGATGCTTGCTTGTTTGTGTATTAGTCCTTGTTCCCTGATCCTCTATTTGAAGTTTGATCCCTTCTGCTGTAGCAAAGGTAAACCTTTTAGTTATTGTTTGAAAAATTGGGGTGTAAAAAATAGCACGTAAATTCCTTTGTTCTAGAGCCCTGGTTTCTCAAGTTCTATAATAATGTTTTTCCCCAAAAATGGGAGGTCAAATGTCAACAATAGTGCAGAATTCCAATAATGAAGACTTCTCCCCAAAAATGAGTGGCCAAATGTCATGAAATGCTACCTTTATGTTGTCATAAGGATGGTTTAAGGAAATGTTGACATCATGATAGTTGGTGTCTGGTTATATATAAATGAAGTAAAAGGAAATAGTAGAAAGGTGATTTTGTGTTCTGCTTGCTTGACCTATCCTTGGCATGGTATGCTGGCTGTACACACCTGTGCTTGATCATGGGTTGTTTTTTTACAGCTTGTCATTGTGCTTGATTTATTTTCACCAAAACTTTTTTCCTATATTGCTGGTGTACAGATATGAATTTGATCGTGTTGTAAATTGCACTGTTTGATCATGGACTGTTTTTCTTTTACAGCTTATCATTGTGCTTGATTTATTTTCACCAAAACTTTTTTCCTATATGCTGGTGTACAGATATATGAGACTATGAGTTGATCATGTTGTAAATTGCACTGTTTGGTCTTGGGCAAACTAGAAGGACTTGTTTGCTCAGAATAGAGTTGCTTAGTTTCATGGTTCTTCATCTTTTTTACTTGTATTCATTTGTGGATGATATGCTGTATACGAGTTTTGATCCATTTATTGCTAATATTATTATGTAGGGAATCGAAATGGATAATAAATGGTACGATAGCAGACAAGAAACATGCACAGAAGATAAACGGCCACATAGAAGAGAGGAGGTACGCACTGTCTGAAGTCTGAACAATGAATGCACATGACATTTTTAATGAGAACCAATGCAATCTGCAACATTTCATTGATTTACTCTAACCCTCCTGTATGATTTTGCATAGCTTTATTTTTAATTGTCATTCACCTGAGTGATAAGTTTACAACATGAATATTGGTAATTGTCCTGATCACTTTTGCAATGGGCTAAGGATGATCAGGTCTTTTTTCCTTTTGGATGAATATGATACCCCTCCCCCCCGCACCCCCGGTTTCAAAGTTGTCACAAGAGGCCATGAGACTGAAGACTCAATATTGATCAGAAATGAAATCATCAACTATTTCAGAGACTTATTCTCCTTGAATGGATGTTGGTTGGGGCCTGCCTTGGAGGTGTGGAATGGGCCCAGACTCACTGAAGAAAATAAGTGTCGGTTGGGAAGGGAGTTCAGCATAGAACAAATCAAAGAAGCAGTTTTCTCCTTACATGAAGACTAGGAGAAAAAAGCGGTCCTCTTTCTCTTTTTTCTTTTTTCCCTAGTGGCTGATGTCTTAGAAGCTTTTTTGTCAAAAGCAGTCTCATTGGACCTCATCCAAGGTTTTAAGGTAAGGGAAGAGAAAACTCCTCCAATATGTAGGTAGACAATACTATTATCTTTTTGGAAGCTTGAAAAGACTAACTTTTGAGTATGAAAAGGATTTGTAAGTGTTTTGAAGCAGTAGCTGATTTGAAAACTAATATTGGGAAGAGTAAGCTTCATTGCTATATCTTACCTCATCAGCTCCTAGTGGAATTCAAAGAAATTCTAGGGTATAATTTAGAGTAGTGGCCTATTAAGTACTTTGGGATGCCTTTGGAGGGAATCCAAAGTTTGTTGGTTTTGGGATCCAGTGATTGAGAAGAGAAAAATAGACACTGGGAAGGAAAACTATATCTCTAAATGTGGCAGATTAACCTTAATTAAGTCTGGGCTCTATAACCTTCCTACCTATTTCCTTTTACTGTTTAGAATGCTAAGGTTAGCTGTAGGATTGAAAAGCTCTAAAGCGACTTTCTGTGGGATGGAGGAGATAGGAAAAAAGATCATCTGGATAGATGGGAGTGGTTTGTAAGCCGAAGAGAGAAGGTGGTTTGGGTCTGGGTCACATTCCAGAGAAGAATATTGCTCTCCTTGGGAAGTGGATTTGGAGATTTCGAAATGATCAAGACTATCCTTGACTTGGTTAGTTGGTTTATGACAGCTACTTTCATTGGGTCCACCTAGGCTGGAAATTAGGGAAGAGAGGTAATATCTTTTGGAGTGCGGTTTCTCATGCTGTGGTGAGGAGCATTTGAGAGGAGCCAAATAGAAGAATTTTTGAAAACTGATGTTCTACTCTGGAGAGGCTGAAAAGGCGTACTTTGGTTATGATCTTTTCTTGGATGTTGGCTAATAATACCTTTTCTAGATTTAGCTTTGGAGATTTGAACAGAAACCTCCTAGAAATTCTTTACTCTTTAGTCTTTCCATTTAAGCTTCTTATTGAATCCCTCCCTTCCCCCAAGATTTGAGATCAGTTTCTTCTTTAGTTTGATGGATGTCTTAGGGGTTCTAATGATCTCCCTGTGGTTGCTAGCATTGGGGGAGTGGTTTTGAACTCTGGTGGCAGTCTGTGGTGGTCTTTTAGTGGCTCTACCTCAGCTTGAGTCTTGGATCAGAGGTTCAAGCGCTCCTTACTGGTCTGTGGATTGCTTGCTCCTTTCAGGCTTCTTCTATTGTTGTGGAGGGAGACTCCAGGAATGCGATTAGTTGGTTCAAATCTAAAGGCATTGGTCCTTGGGCACTTGTTTATCTCCCATAAGCTGTCTTTTTTATTTTGCAGTTACAGTCTTACAGATGGATGCCTAGGAAACTAAACCAAACAGATGAGAAGTGAGATCTCTGTTTTAGATAGCAAACAGGATGAGAAAATGGATAAAGCCTGAGTTTAGGTATGCCATCCGAGGGTTGGGTGGGCGCAAAGTGTTTTTTCTTATGTGTTTTTTGGCAAGGTTTGTTTGGTGCGGGATCCTGGAATCTTGGCAAGGGCTTCAGCTGCTTCTCCTTGGAAATCCATCCACAATCTGCTTTCAGTTTTCTCCCCTTGGATTAGGTATGGTCTAAACTCCGGTAACCGAATAAATTTCTGGGAACAACTTTGGGTCGGGGTTTCCCCTCTGAAAGACCAGTTTCCTTCCTTGTATGCTCTTTCAGACTTGAAAAATGAACCCATTTCTTCTTTCTTGGTCCCTTCAGCCTCCACTTCGGGCTTTGGTTGGAACCTTGGCCTGCGTAGGGCAATTAGGGACACTGACTTGGATAGCTTGGTCTTTGCTAGCCTCCCTTGAGGGTGTCTTCCTAAACTCTGCTAAGGAAGACACCTGATTTTGGACCCTTTCTAGCTCTGGTACCTTTTCTTGTGCTTCTTTCTTTGAAACCTTAACTCAGCCTCTTTCCCCCTTGGGGTTGTCCTTTCCAGTTTAGGAAATTTGGAGTAGACCTATTCCTCCTAGGGTGGGTTTTTTTTGTTGGGAAATTTTCCTGGAAAGAATCAACACTTACTTCAAAGAAAGAGACCCAACTATTGTCTACTTCCTAATAGATGTGCTCTTTGTAAAGCTAATGGGGAATCTGGCTACCACCTCATGGTCTCTTGTAAGGTTGCTAAAACTGTTTGGGAGTGGGTTTTCTCCCGTTTTGGGTGTTCTTGGTATCCTTCGGAGACTGTCCAAGGTTTGTTTTCTCCTTCTTTTTTCAGTTGGCCTAAGAAGCGGGGGAAGACTATGTGGAGGTGTATTAGGGCAGCGGTATGCTGGTCTTTGTGGGAAGAAAGAAATTCACGCAATTTTTCTGACAAGGAAAAACATTGGAAGATTTGTTAGACCGAATCCTTTTAAGAGCTGTCCACTGGCTAAAATCTTTGGAGCTGTTTTCAGATTGTCCTATGGATGACTTGCTAAGAAACTAGAAATAGATTGCTTCCACTGCTAGATGCAAGAGGACTCTTTGTCCGTTCTGGTCCCCTCCTCCCTCGGGCTTTATAAAGCTGAATTTTGATGGCAGCAGTGTAAGGAATCCAGGGCCCTCTGGGATTGGAGGAGTCTTCAGGAATGAGGAAGGGATTGTTACTGCTTTATTCTATTGGAGAAGGTGACTCTCTTAGGGCTGAGATCCTTGCAGCGCTTGAAGGAATTCGAAGAGCAAAAGAATTAAATAATTGCCGCTTGATTCTGGAAGGTGATTCGAAGGTGGTGGTTAATTGGTTGAAGACAGAGGACAGTGGTTTGTGGAACTTTAACAATGAGAAAAAAACAGTTCTTATGACTGGGTAGGGACATTGAGATTCAGTACAGCTGGGTGAAGAGGAGTGCCAACTCATTTGCGGATGGGTTGGCCAAGCAAGGAGTGAATAGGGAGGCTGTTTTTTGGGCTAGTTTTAAATTTTTCTTTGCATTCCCTGTGTTTTCTGTTTTTGGGGAGCCAAGTTATTTTATCTCCCTTTGTATTCTTTTTCCTCTCTTCTCTTAATTTAATGAAGATGATGTTATTGATAAAAAAAAGGTTTGTTTGGTGCGGGATCTGCAGTGTTTTGGTTGCTTTTGATTCTTCTAGTGATTGGTGGAAAGAGTTGCTGTGATATTTGTTTGTGTTTTTTTTGTAGTTGTATCTGGTTTTGTTTTTAAGGTGTTTTGTATTGTCTGTAGGGCTGTTTTTCTGTTTAAAGGGTTAATTTTGTTAGGGTGGGTTTGTTGTATTTGGGTCTGTTTTTGCTGGGTGATTCCTTATCACCCTGTTGTATTCTCTTTTCCCTTCTTCTATAAAGTTTATTTTTTATTTATCTTAAAAAAACTATATCAAACAGCTCTGATCTTTTGGCTAAATCTGGTTTGGGCAGGGATTAGTTGTACAATGCAAACATCTTACTATCACTTTGATAGGGCTATTGTTTTTTGCTGTTTTGCCCTATTTGATCGTACATTTCCTCATGTACATCCCTACCTTTTTCTAAAAAAAAAAAGAAAAGAAGTTTTGCTAAGTTTTAGATCTTCAATTTCTGCTACAATATTATGTAAGTTACTGGATTTTAGTGGCTCTACCTCAGCTTGTCTTGGATCAGAGGTCCAAGCACTCCTTACTGGCCTGTGGATTGCTTGCTCCTTTCAGGCTTCTATTGTTGTAGAGGGAGATTCCAGGAATGCGATTAGTTGGGTCAAATCTAAAGGGACTGGTCCTTGGGCACTTGTTCATCTCCCATATGTTGTCCTTTTATTTTACAGTTACCTAGGAAACTAAATCAAACAGCTTATCTTTTGGCTAAATCTGGTTTGGGCAGGGATTACTTGTACAATGCAAGCATCTTACTATCACTTTGATAGGGCTATTGTTTTTTGCTGTTTTGCCCTATTTGATTGTACACCTCCTCACGTTCATCCCTCCCTTTTTCTAAAAAAAGAAAAAAAGGTTTTCCTAAGTTATTTGATTTTAATTTTTTAGTGATTGTATCTGATGGGGGTAGAAGTGACCTCCAATTAAATCCAGAGGGCACGCCTCTGGCTACAAACTCCCACCTTGGAAGTTCCAGTTGTACACCCCCCTGAATGCCACCAGTCACAACCCTGGGATTTCACCCCGGGCCCTCTGACTGCCCTTTCTCTTGCAGGTGCCCTGCTGACCTCCAAGCTGCCTCCAAGTCTGGGTAGCGACTTTTGATCTTCATCAGTAACCATGTTTATATTTGTTTTTGTGGTATAGGCATATGAAGACTCCCTTGCTGAGGACTTGGGAGAGGATTTTCGACTTCCAATTGATCATAGGCCCACAGAGAATATTGATCTAGATAATGTGGAGCAAGCATCTTTAGACACACAACTGTCATCATCTAACATAGGCTTTAGGCTTCTCCAGAAGATGGGCTGGAAGGGGAAGGGACTTGGCAAAGATGAGCAAGGTATTGATTTACCAGACAACCAGTTGAAATAACTACTTAATATTCTATATAATGTAGCTAATGTCTGCCCTTGATTCCATAGCATGATTTGTCAATAAGGTTTTTCTTGTAAGTGTAGTTTCTTTCATTAATGGATAATATGCATGCCCATTTCTTATTTTCAATTTTAATATCACATGAACTTTGCATTGAGCACATGCTTTTAGCAATAAAATGTTTTTTTTTTTTTTGCACAAAATAACTACCAATATGTCTTTTTTATAGATTACTTTCTTTTAACAATGTTGATATTTGATACTAAGACAAGATGATTAAGCAAAACTCTTTCATTGGAATGGCAACAATCTTATGAGTAGCACCTTTCTCAAGACTAGTACTTTCAACATTAATGGTTATGGATCATGATATCTGGAAAGATATTAGTTTCTTCCACTAGAAATTTGTTATTTCTTTGATTGATCCTATATCCAAATAAAATTGATGCAAATACATTTCTATTTGTTGAAAGACTAGTACTTTCAACATTAATGGTTATGGATCATGATATCTGGAAAGATATTAGTTTCTTCCACTAAAAATTTGTTAGTTCTTTGATTGATCCTATATCCAAATAAAATTGATGCAAATACATTTCTATTTGTTTTTGCAATTTGCATATTTTCAATTCTAAGTTATCTATTAAAAGAAAAAAAGAACATGACAAGCTGAATCTGCCTTTTAGTTACAATTTCACACCACTATTGATGTTGGATAGAATATTGCTCAATTGCTGGCTTTTTTATTGGCTGGTAAAATGCAATAAGGTTGGAATAGATGGGGTATCTTCTTTCTTTCACATCAAAGCTCAGCTTTTTTTCCCCAGAGCTTTACCCTCGTGTGGTTTGGTTTTTGAACTTCTTTGATGCTGCCTTGGGAGCTAAAAGGGGTTACTTTTGGAAGAAACATTGCATTGGAGGCTGTTCTTTCGTTGAAGAACAATGTGTTAAGACCCAAGTCTCACACTCTGCCCACGACTCAGCCAGCCCATCAGCTATCCTAGGCAAGAGAGTGCACACATCTCCACCTACAAAGTTTGTTTGTTCTAGAAGGCCACATTACATTATTAGTTACTGAGTGAATTCTCAGGAGACATCACGTGTAATAGTATAAAATAACCACCTGGTGGAAACTATGACAGATTGGAGTTTTCCCACCCAAATTGTTCTTTCCCTCGTTCTTCTTTTAACTGTCATCTCCATTTTTTTGATCAGTAGTTTACCTGTCATCTCCATTTCAAGAGGAAGAAAAGGTTGCGCTTCAGTCCTAGGTGTTGAATTTGCAATCTGAGGATGATCTAGTATGGAAAGGGAACAAAAGTGGAGAGTTCTCAGTCCTAGGTTTTGAAACCCCCTTCCCAAGCCGGGCCATTTGGGGGACAGTGGCTCCCTCTAAAGTAACGTTTTTTTGTATGGGGGGCAGCCTTAGAGAAATGTCTCACCAAAGAGATGCTGGTAAGAAAAGGTTTTAACTGCAGTGATCTGAGATGTAGCCTCTGTGGTGGGGAAACAGAATCAGTAAACCACCTGTTCTTACACTGCATTTTTGCATCAGAGATCTGGAGCCATTTCATAAGAAGTCTGAAGTTAAGTTGGTGTATGCCAGCCTCAGTTAAAGCCTGTATGGAGGCTTGGCAGATCCGAGGGATGACTAAGAAAGTAAAAATTTGCTGGTCTTCTATTCCCTTAGCAATAATGTGGGCGGTGTGGTCAGAAAGGAATAGTAGGGTCTTTGATCTTAAATCCTCTACTGCAGCCGAAGTTATCAACTCTGCTGTAGGTTTTGTTAGAAGTTGGCCGTCTATACTTACTGAATTTAAGGGGGATACTTCTGATTGTAATTTTTTGAGGATGGACTTTTTTTGAGGTCCTTTGGTTTTGATGTGTACAGTTTCTCATGGTACAACGGACCTTTACATGAATACAATGATACATTACCTTTGCTCAAAAAAAGAGGAAAACGTCCCTTGAAGTAGCTCATTTTGTATTGGTTTTATCATCTGGTATCAGAGAAACAATCCAAGGATGCTGACTGCCAGGATTTGTGGGAGATCTGAGGGACATTAGGGTAACTCTATCTGCCATAGCTTCCAAGTTGTAGAAGATGTTTGCAATGTTGGAAAAGTAGAGTAACCTTGAATGGTCTAGCAGCAGAAATGCTTGAAAAGGGGAAGTTAACATTAGTTGAACCAACTAGGTTGATTTTCCAATGTTGGATATATAGAGATGAAAGGTATTTTGAGTTCCAATAGACCCCTGCATCTCAGTGAATTCCAATAGCTTCCATTTATTTATTGTAAGGTCATTTTCTGGCAATGAGAACTTGATTGGACTTTATGAAAGATGTGTGTATCAGATTCACCTTTGGCAATGAGAACTTTTACGAGTCATTGGCTAAACGGAGATAAACCAGATCAGTTAGGGATTACCAAATTGAATTTGAGAGAATTGCTACCCAAGTTTAGGGATGGTTGGAGAAGCCCCTCATTGGTTGTTTTATGGGAGGTTAGAGAGAGGACATATGTTTGAATTTGACAGAATTGCTACCCAAGTTCAGGGATGGTTAGAGAGAGGACATATGTTTGGAAGTGAAAGCTATGTAGCCAAACATGATAATGGCTGTGGTGGGCTTAGCAAAGCTCCATAAAGAGAAATTAAATCTACTGAAGAAAATGGCCAAAACCCTAGGACCTATTTTTAAGACTCCTTCAAAGGGCTGATCCATCACAGGGAAGAGCACCAAGAAGCTTTCATGGTGTGAAATGTAGACAGTAGGCCCAATGTGAAAAGATTTTTTGTAACAATTGTGACGAAAAGTTTGTTTTGTGACACTGTTGTAAATCCCAATTGTTGCTTCCAAATGGTTAATTATGTCCATATCACCAACATATATTCCTTATTTAAGTTTTATAAAAAAAAAGATTCCTTCTGTAAGTTGATGAACTGTTGGGGGAACTAGATGGGGGGTGGGGCTGTGGAAGTTGTAACCAAAATAGAGGAGCTTGGAATGGAGGTAAACTTCCATGAGTTCTCAATCCAAGCTCTAATTGAGCTTAACTGTCCATAGATCCTAAGAGTTATGGGTTGATCTTGGGCCGAAATGTATTTGTTCTTAGTGATAGCGACAACTCATTTAAGGCCATGTTTGGGAGTGCTTATTCAAAATAAGTGCTTATTTGGGTCGGAACCACACCATTAAGCACTTATTGGTATTTGGGAAATAAGCCCAAAATAAGTGCTTATTTTAAAAATAAGGGCTTATTTTTTAAGCCCAAAATTTCAGCTTTTTTAAGTGCTTATACAATAAGCACTTATTCAATTTTTTTCTTTGAAATACCACTTATCCCCAATCATCTTCCCCAAGGCCAAATCCTATATCACACAAGAGGAAGGGAAAAAGGTTACTGAGCAGTTTAACGAATTTGTTATACTACTAACAGTGAACAAGTTTATAAGTAGTTTTGGAACATGTAGAACATCAGAGAGGGTGAGTCCAAGAGGAAGGGAGGTGGTTCCTTGACCAGCTATGGCGGAGAAAGAACCATCAACAAGTCTCACCTTGTTCTGACCAAATAATAGATGATAAGATTGAAAACAATTGGACTTACCCGACATATGGTTTAAGGCTCCAAAATCTATTATCCAAGGAGAGTCTGAGGGATGTGAGGACACATGGAAAGCTGTGGAAGAATTATTGTTACCTGATGTAGACGCAAAAGGAGTCGGGGGGGGGAGTTGAATCCATCTAGCGGATTGCCCTCCCATACAACTCCAAATGGTCACAAAAAGAATTAATGATCTACCCTTGGACCAGTCACGGAAGGGCTCATGGTAGTGGTAGATGATTGAGGCTTTTGAGAGGCTAAGTTTGCTGCATTAAACTTCTTTTGACATTGCTGTCCCGACTTTTTATTCTGGTTTGATTTCTTACTCATCTCTTGGGCCCACTTTGGCTTCCCATGAAGTTCCCAACATGTATCCCGAGTACGTCTAGATTTCTGACAATGTGTGCACCATAGTTAATCCTTGTCATCAACTTTCTTTTGGAAGTCACTCTTCTTGAAGGAATTACCACCTCCCATAGCAACACTCCCTTTCCCCTCAGAATTATTCATCACATTCCGTTTGCTCTCTTCTAACTGTACTAGAGCATACACTTCTTGCACTGGTGGGAGATCTTTACTCCCCAATATCTGAACCTTGATAGATTCATATGTGGAATTCAGCCCTAAGAGGAAGGCAAACACCTGCTGCTAAGAAACCAGAGACTTGTATGTTTTAGCATCTGCATCACATTTCCAGTCTATGTTCTGATAATGATCTAGTTCTTTCCAAATAGAGGTCAAGTCTGAATAGTAGACGGAGAGAATATATAACTGATATATTTTAGCATGATGCCGTTGTTCTGAATATGTAGATTTAGCCTTCTCCCATATCTCATGAGTTGTTTCTGCCCACACAAAGGTCTTTCTCACTTGTGACAGCATGGACAATAACAGCCATGACATCACCATGCTGTTTTCCTAGTCCCACCTATCATGTTCCACACCTCCAGATTGTGGTTCTTTAACTCTACCATTGATATACCCCACTTTTCCCCTTGCAATCATGTAGAACTTGATTCCCCTTGACCATTCTAGGTAATTGAGACCATCAAAGGGAATCACAACCATGGGAAACTCATGTCAAAGCCTGAACTCATTCCACTCTGACTAGAGGTCACACCAGACATACCAGAATCCTCAGAAGACATGGTACTTAATTTCAGTTCAGTCACAATTGAGTCAAAGAGCTAGTTCTCAGTTCAGTTCAGACTCATAGTTCAGTCAAAAAATTTTAAAACCTTAGTCCAGCTACAGTTCTAGGCACAAAAAAATTCTTGTTGTCACACATCATAATCAAATCTGATCACACATCACTTGTTCTCATATTTCAATCCTACTGAACCAGTTCAGATGTACAAAACTTATCAAAAATCAGGTTTGACCAGTCCCTCCAAACAATTTTCATCAATTTTTCACATGACCACTGAAGTTTCAATAGGAACTACGGAAAGAAAAACTGCTATCACTGCAGTTACAGATCATGCAGACCTGAACAGCCCACCTTTCAGGGCACAAGAAGGATCACTCGATGCACATAGGCTGAGAGGAAACACTCTCACAACAGCCACCGGTCATTAGACCCACATAACCCACTCACCTGGGTATAGAAGGATCAATTCGATCCACAAAGTTGAGGAGAAAAGAAAAAAAAACCTTTTATAGTATTCAACTTCCCTCCCCTTGGTGTTTTTTGGGCCCACGACCAAGAGGGGAGAGGAAGAATCACACATCAAGCCTCCTCATGTCAATCAGAAGTCCCTTTTCTCTGATTCGATCACCAATGGACAAAGAAAGCAGCTATAGAAAGAAAAGGATTGATTACACTTCTTCTAAGACTTGATTTATCGCTTTGATACCATGTTTTCTTGGTAAACACGCAACAGGATCTCGGAATAGTGAGAGAAGTGGAGGGAGAAGAGAGAGGAGAGAAAAGAGAAAAAAGGTTTTGAAGAGAAAAAACCTCAACTGGTGGCGCTRGCCTTTTTTGATATTTATATTAGGGTGGCTTTGATACCATGTTTTCTTGGTAAACACGCAACAGGATCTCGGAATAGTGAGAGAAGTGGAGGGAGAAGAGAGAGGAGAGAAAAGAGAAAAAAGGTTTTGAAGAGAAAAAACCTCAACTGGTGGCGCTGGCCTTTTTTGATATTTATATTAGGGTGGCTTTGATACCATGTTTTCTTGGTAAACACGCAACAGGATCTCGGAATAGTGAGAGAAGTGGAGGGAGAAGAGATGGAGAGAAAAAACTCAGCTGGTCGTGCCAGCCTTTTTGATATTTATATTAGGGTGACCATTCAAATAGTAAAACAATGTAAAATTACATATGTGCCCTTGCGTTACTAAACTAAAGTAGGACTAGCTTATTCAACAAAACCAAACTAGCAGAGTTAGATAGAAGGTGGGTTAGAAGTGTGTGGAAATCAAGAGGAGTGAAGTGGACCTCGACTCCTTCCTGGGGAGCTTCTAGAGGTCTAGTTACTCTATGGAGAGAGGATGTGGTGGAATCGGTTGAGGAACTCATTGGAAGGCTTTCTGTGTCTTTGAAATTTAAAAGCTTGGATGATGGGTTTACTTGGTCTCAACGGATATATATATGGGCCAAATAATTATATAGAGAGAAATGAGTTGTGGGAGGAATTATATGGAATTTAATGGTTTTTGGGATGGCCCTTGGTGTTTGGGGAGAGATTTCAATGTCATAAGGTTTTGTTATGAGCCGAATAACTCTTGTAGTGTTGTTACCTCTAGTATGAGAAAGTTTAATGACTTCGTTAACACATGTGCATTGAAAGAGATACCTTTGTTGCAAGCCAATTACACCTGGTCCAACTTTCGGGAAAACCCTCTTTGTTTGAAATTGGATAGATTCCTTTTTAATGAAGAGTGGGAAAATCATTGGAGGGATTTGTTGGTCACTCTAACTGTCCCCTTCCCAGCAATGGGCATATGTGAACCATTTGCTATAGAAACTCTGTCTCTACCAGAGCACAACTGATAGGAACTGAAAATGGTAGGGGCATTAGCCATATGGTCAGATGCTCCTGAGTCTATAATCCAGGGAGGTCCCTCCTTACCTGAAGCGGATACAATATTCACAGTTGCATACGAACTACCTATATGTAGTTGGCTCCTACATTCTGCTGTCCATCTGGAAGGTTAGAGCTGGGTGAATCTTTCTTACTCATAAGTTATCCAAAGCTCTCCAATTCTGTTCTCACTACTGCTACTGCAATGGATTCCCAATCAATTTGGGARAGAGGGGCTGAAGAGTCTCTTGTAGTGGCTACATTTGCATTTCCCTTCTTGTTTCTTATCCGAGCAGGCATAAGATTTGGATGAAGCTTCCAACAAGTGTCCTTGGTATGCTTAGACTTCTTGCAATAATCACACACCAAGTCTTTATCTTCCCTTCTAGTCTCACTACTCCTCTGTCTCCATTTAGCTTAGGTTTTGTTGTACCAATCATAGCCGACTGGTCAATCCCATGCTGTCTCAGCATTACATTCCTCCTATTCTCCTCTCCAGAGACAAAAGCATAGGCTTGAGAGAGTGTCACACCCTCCCTAGAAAGAATATGCTGCCTAGCAATATCAAATTCAGGGTTCAGCCCTGCCAATAACTCAAAAACCTTATTCCTCTCTACCAGTTTGTGATAAGTTGCTGCATCATTTACACTTTCCCATACCACAGTTTCTAAGTGATCTATTTCCTGCCATAGGGTTTTCAGCATGGAGAAATACACAACAAGAGGTTTTTCTCCTTGTTTCATACTTATCAACTGATTTCTTAACTGATAGGCTCTGGCTTCATTTTGCTTCTGAGAGTAGGTTTCGGTCACTCCATCCCAAATCTCCTTAGCAATATTAGCCTATAGGAAGATTTTTGCAATATGAGGTAACATAGATTACACAGCCAGAACATTACCACGTAATTCTCTTGCACCCATCGGGAAGAGTTTGTATCAGGTTTCTTCTCCTCCCTAGTGAGATACCCTAATTTTCCATGGGCACCAATAGCCATCTTAGCTAATTGTGCCCACTCCAAATAATATCTACCATCAAGTTTTACTGTAGTAATGATCCCAAACCCAAAAATATCACTACTACCTCCAACACACAGTCCCACAGTACCGGTAGATTTCATCTCGGTATTCCAACTCTCCATTTTACTTCAAACAGTTCAACAATAAGAAAAAATAGATTGAAGACCTTTAAAAATTAATTTAATACCACTCACACAGAAACCAACCCTTTTAGAAGAAGAAAACCCTAACTGGAGGGAAATCTCTCTCCTCTCCATGCCTCCCAACAGAGAGAAAAGTGAATCGATCACTTCAGGAGGCCTAGAAAATTTAAGAAACCAAACCGCCCTCTTCAGAAAATCAAAAGAAAACTAACAATACCTGGGCGCCCAAGATCAGATCAAAAACAAAGAGTCCAACTTTTCTGTGACTCTTCCTCGTACTCCAGTTCTTCCTGATTTTGATGTCGAACAGTAGATCACCTTCTTGATGTCTAGATCCCACCAAAAACTCCAAGAACTGGGCAATCTATTGCAGATTGATCAGCCCTTTACTACTTCATGCAGTCGGCTGATCTAGGGCTGCATGAGAATGCTTCAAGAAACCCTAGCCGATGCTCTGATACCAAGTGGAAATCTGCTGAATTAAAAAAATATGAAAGAAAGTAGTTTCTTGAAGAGAGGAGAAGAAGAGAAGTTGAAAGAAAAGAGAGCAATAATCTGGCCGCCCTTATAGAAGAGTACAAAGACAACTATGCCCTTATAGGGCGGAAAAACATAAAACAGCATATATAACACTCAAAAAACATAATAAAATTTGGACTCACATAACTACTGTGGTCCCCACCTCTTATCTAACAACTAACATAAAAGATCTACTTAGAAAAACATCATAACACTAATTAATCTTCAACAGTATTGAATCACACGCCTTGTGTCCCCATAGGGGCTGCAATTAATTTTTCTTGAGCATAGTACAGCACTTTCCAGCAACTATCTAAGAAATCTCCTCCAAAGTCGACGGGAGCCGGTAGTGGGACTCGAATCCGCATCTCTTTTGGGACTACCCAATTTACGTACCAACTGAACCACCACAGTTGGCAGTTTGTTTTCTCATTCGTGCATGCATTCTAATACTATTTGCAAGGTGCCAAGGTGTTTGATGATGGTCAACAAAATTTGGATGCATTACCTGTTAAGATAACATAAAACAATTTATAAATGATTATATTGAACTTTTCAACTATTACTAGTTTACAATCTGTTCCCAAAATATTAATGTAACAACACTCCATTTTCTATTATCTTACTATTTGTACTCTTGTCATTTTAACATGGGGGTTGTGTGCAGGAATAGTTGAACCAATAAAAGCTGGGATTAGAGATCCAAAGTTAGGAGTGGGGAAGCAAGAACAAGATGATTTTTTCACTGCTGAAGAGAATGTTCAGCGAAAGAAACTTGATGTTGAGGTAGAGGAGACTGAGGAGCAGGCAAAGAAGCGGGAGGTAGGTCATATCAAACCAATAGGTTTGTCTGTCATGTTTGCCATTATCAGATGTTCTGAGGTTGATGCTTTACTTTTTCTGAAATGTACATCTAATAACAGAAGGCAGCATATAGCATATATGTGTGTCTTTTGACGGGAATTGTATATGTTAAGGGAACATCAACTTTGGAGAGTCTTGAGAATTTCCTGCAGTTTTTATTACCTGGTGGCTTCTACTGCCTGCTTCGTGCACATGATGAAAATCCAGGTCATAGCAGAACGTGAGCAGAAAATTCAAACTGAGGTGAAAGAAATACGTAAGGTGTTTTATTGTGATCTCTGTAACAAGCAGTACAAATTGGCCATGGAATTTGAAGTTCACCTTAGTTCATATGACCACAATCACAGAAAGGTAAGGTTCTTTTGTGGGTTCAAGAATAGATTGAAAAAGTCATATATTTCTTAGGTTCTGTCCTTGTCTAAATCTAATCTGGCAATAAATACTTATCATGCTAACAGCGGTTCAAGGAAATGAAAGAAATGCATGGAAGTAGCAGTCGTGATGACCGGCAAAAGCGTGAACAACTACGTCAAGAAAGGGAGATGGCCAAGTTTGCTCAAATGTATCCATTCATGTTTATTGCGATAGTACACCTATATTAAGCTATTATGTGTGCATAAATCCCCCTTGTTCTGTTCTAATTTTTTAATGATTCAGATAAATCATGTTTTGAGTTTGTTTTTTAACATCCAATTAGAGCAGATGCCCATAAACAACAACATCAAAATGATCAAGCAGGGGCAACTCCTACTACATTGAGAAGTGCTACTGCACTGGCAGATCTGAATCAGCGGAAGACATTGAAGTTTGGATTTTCCTCCAAGACTGGTTCATCCAAGGTATGTGAAGCAGCATTTTTTTCTTCACATATTTTCTGTATAGAGTCAGAAATGTATACAAAGTAGCTGTAGGTACAGGCTAGACCCTATGACAAATGCAGCATAAAAAGATTTGTTATAAATAACATGTAGAATTACTCATAAAAAACCTTAGGATTTAAAAATGAAATCCTTCTATCCTCTCTTTGGATAAAGATTTTGTTCTGTAAATGGTGTACCGTATTTGTATCTGAGTCATTAACATGGCATCCACCACAAAATCTCATTGGTCACCACCTCATAAGATTTTTTTTTTATTCAAGTAACCTCATAATTCAGAAATTGAAGCATCTTTGTTTCTAGGCATTTGGAATAAGGTAGGAGATGCTTCACACAATAGGGTTGACATTCCAATCAAGATGCCTATTTCCATATTTACCTCCTATTATCTGCTTCCAGCACATATTGTTTCATTGTCAAAATTCCAAAGCCACTTTCCAAAAACTTTGTATACTTTCCTTGGAGGTATAATGCTAAGACCTACACCTTTGGTGGTGGTTATCCTACTCCCATCCACCGGGCGTATTTTCAAGGCACCAAGTATAGGCTACGGGAAGGGGGGGTGCCTTGTGGCCTAGGTCATGTCTTTTTTTTAATGGAAACATAGAATCCTAGGGTAACTCACTAGGTTCCATACCAACCAGCAAGCAATTTTTTTTTTTTTTTTTTTTTTTTTTTTTTCTGATATCTTTTGAAGGGCTAAACAACGGGGGGTAGCCCATAACCCCCCGCCCCCCAACCAACCCAGGTGCAGGCGGGATTCAATCCCAAGTCTCCGCTACCACCGACATGGGACCTTACCACCAGCTGGTTGGCACCTTGACCAGCAGGAGACCTAGTAATTATTATTAATCTTCATAAAAAGTATGCTTTATATTGAAGCATAGAAAATCAGCATATTCATGAGAAGAAAAAGAAGAAAGAACAGAACATTTAGAAAATATAAGGGCTTAACCCCTGTTTATGTCTAAAGACAAGTAAAGAAGGGAGAGGGAGTGTCTTGGCACCTAAGGAATGCCCGGCATGTCAAATGGCTCTATAGGGGCATGCTTATTCCGGTCAATTGGATTAGATCTTCCTATAGTCTGGCAGATGGACTGCTAAGCAAGGGGTTCAGAGACAGTATGTTTTGGGCTCAACTGTAATGTTTGGGGGGTTTAGACATCTGGTGTCTTCTGTTTCTTCCACAATTTTTTGTTTCTCTGCTTTCGTTTAAAATTAATAAAATCCTTTCATGTGTTATTGATAAAAAAAAAGAAGAATGTCTTGATTGCAAAGAATTTACTTTTTCGTTTCTGGTTCAGGTTTTGTTGTCTTCAAGGATTAAAGACAGTATACACACCAATATGTGTGTTGATTGAACCCTACCAAAATAAGAAAATAATAAAGAGAGACTAGTATATAAATCCACAAAATGAATAATTTAGTCTAATACTATATATTTTATTATTATAAACTAGAAGTATAAAGAATATAAAGGTATTTTATAGCACCATTTACAAAATGGATAGGCACTGAAGTGAGGCGGCCCTCCATGGGCACCATGTTGCCTAGGCATTGCTTTGACAACTATGGCACAATATGGTATTTCTTCAATGTGTCCCCCATGCTCATTCTTTTCAAGAATCTCAGCCATTGATGTGGACAAAGTGGAGAGAGAAATAATAATCAAGGAGATTGCATAAAGCACTTCTTACTTTCTTAGCAAACTGAGCATACATCCTTTTGAAAGCAATCCTTATTTCCATTCGACTGGTTTTTTGTCCAAACATTTTATCTTATCTCTGGATCCCAACTTGCCTTCAATTTATAGTTAGCTCTTAATGTAAGCCCCTTTGCTTGGTGTAATGGTTTAGGGGTTGTATTTCGAGATACAGAAGGTGAGGTACGGGCACTTTATTCTGGTCCCATAGAGCAAGGGGATCCACTGATAGCAGAATTAATGACTCTGCTTCAATGGCTGAAACTTGCAAAACAGTTTGGATTTCAAAGGTTAGAAGTGGAAGGGGACTCTCAGGTGGTGATTTCCTGGACAAAATTTCACAGCCAAACCCCTTGGGTTTACAGGCCAAGGATTAGGGAAATTGAAATGATAACAAGGGAACTGAGTGTTACTTTTAAATGGGTGAGAAGAACTGCAAATGGCATGGCAGATACTTTAGCCAAACAAGGGGCAAACAGGCAGCACTTATTTTGGGCTAAATTGTAAGGCTGATTTTGGGGGATTGCAACTCTAGTTGTATCTGTTTACTCCGATGGTTGTGGGTAAAGTATCCACAAATTTGTAAGCTCAAATTTCATATTATGATTAATGAAACTTCTGCTGATAAAAAAAAGTGCAGCAGTGTGGGCTCAAGTTTGTGAACGGGCACTCTGTAAAGAATCCCAGATAACCAGAATTTAGTAACTACCTTTTTGGTTTCAGTGGAAGCCCTAGGCACACCCAAAGCAAAACCAGATTTATGGAAAAAACCTTAAAAACAAGGGATTTTAAAATGTGAACTTAATAATGACTGATTTCAAAGTGGGTTAAAGAATATCAATTTTTATTTTGTTTAATTAAATCAGTGATTTAAAAGGCGCACCTAGGCGCACAGGCGAGGCGCGTTTTGGGGTATGTGCCTTGCCCGGGTCTTAAGCGCACCCCTTTCAAAAGGCATGCCTGGTGTGCCTGATGCACCTTGCGCTTCAGTCCAGGCATGCACCTTTTTAATTTTTTGCGCTTTTTTGCTGTTTTTTGAGAACTCCCTATTTGCTAATATTGTTCATTCATTCATTGCAATAAAATATCTTCTTAAAAGGCAATGAAAGTTGTAAAATCATTATTTTTTATGTGAGAAATAAGAATTTCAGACCCTAACATAGACTTGTTCGGGCTTGCCTCGAGGGGCATGGTACAAAGGCGACTCATAGAATCAAGAATGCAATATGTTTTACATCACATTAGCTACTTGAAGCAATGCAATTAAAGAGAAAAAGAGATTGTGGGTTTTACATGCTTGAAAATGCTTTATATGTTTGCTTTTATTTTAATTTTAGATAATAGGTTTTTTAAAACATTTATTTTAAAATTTAAGTTTAAAATATGTTTTGGTTTTTTTGCATTTTTAAATTTTTTTTGGCATTTTGTTTTTGATTTTTTAGTTTTTTTTTTGTAATTTTGCGCTTTTCTTAAAAAGGCATGTGCCTCAGGTGCAAATTGGCCCTTGCGCTTTTAAAACATTGAATTATATACCTTACTTTTTTCAAAATAAAAACAAGGGGTTTTAAAATAATAGGGCTAAAACAAAATATATGCAATGTGAACTTAGGACTAGATATTAGGGTACACTTGGGATTGGAGACCAAGAGATATCTGAATTTTGACCAATTCCATTAAATTAGTTTGGTAATCCATAACAAAGAAGAGATTGAGGATGTTGCCCATAGAATTAGAGTCAGATGGACAAATTGGAGGGGCTCATCTGGAATTTTATGTTGTAGGACAATACTTCTTAAACTGAAAGGAAAATTTTATTAAATGGTTATAAGGCTGGCAATCAAGAAATAACCTGTCTAGAAAGTGAGTGGGGGAGAAATGCAAATGTTCAGATGGATGTGTGGAACAACGAAATGGATATGATCAAACTTATTTGATAAAACTTAGTAACATCATCATCATCATCCATGCCTTATCCCAACTATATGGGGCCCATAGTTTTCAAGGCGCCAAGGTGAGGTTAGGCGACTTTGGGGTGCCCAGGCGCCTAGCCCCTCGCCTAGGCGACTTTGCCGATGGATTTCTACCCTTTTGAACTAGTTTTTTTGGGATTTATGTATTCTGCATTTACTTTTGTGCTTGGAACTTGAAAGAACTGAAGATTTTAGATCAACAATACATAGGGAACAAATACTAAAATAAAAGAAGAAAATGAAAAAGAAAAGTAGGGGGCGGAGCCCCTGTTCTAGACCCAGAAAATCTGGTGAAAAA